ATACATTAAGTGGCTTTAGCTAGATTTGGCTTTCATAGGGCAGATGGTCATAGTGCTTTAGTCTGTATAGAACTGCATGTACAATATAAAGGATCTTGGATATTTATATATTATTTGTTTTATATATATATATATATATATATATATATACATATGCAAATTTTATTTTACAATTGTACTGTAAAATACATTTATTTTTATACTTCTTTTTTACTTAATTGTGTTTCACTCAAAAAAATGTGAATTTATTATTATAGTAGTATTTCTTGATGTTTAATATTTTTATTTTTGTTAGTAGTACTAATAATCATAATTAAATTCTAAAAATAATATTTTTAAATTATATTAAGTTATACAGCAAATCGAATTTCATTTTAAATTTGTATGTATGTATGCATGTATGTAATAAAAATATAATAATATATATATAATATATTGATAAATATAATATTTAATTGGCTAGAAATTCGGTGCAATCTGTATAAAATATTCATTGTCAAACAATCAATGTCAAAGGTGAAATTGATTTAGATGTTTTAAATTCTCCATTAGTTACTAGATAAGAATTTCGCAACTTTTTGTCTTCTGTTCTCCCACAGAAATATTTTAACTCCTTTTTTCCTTTCAACCACTGTCACACTGAAGATAATTTTGCATTATCATTAATCATAATTATTATTATCCTTCTCTCTCTTATCAAGCGTGAGTTGTCTTATTATGATTTTTATTAAACAAAACAAAATTGAAATCTTTCCAAGTTCCCTCTGAACCCTGCTTAAGTACCCACTGGGTACACATACCTCTGGTTAGGAATGACAGCACTTACACATTCACATACAAGTGAATAACACTCCTTGATTGCTCATGGTGTGTTTGCACTTCCTGCAGAAATCCTCAGCTCCGCTGATTCCCAATGAACACACCCCTGATGAAGCCAAACCCGGCATTGGTGCAGGCACCCAGAAGAGCACCAGCTCCCCTAAAGAAGAGAAACCCCCCTCGCCAACATCCCCCAATGCTGTCGCCCCTGCAGTCATCAAAGAGTCGTCCCACTAGTCTCCAGACTTCTCTCAACCCTCTGAATGTGCTCACAAAAAGGAACACACACAGAAAAACTTGTGATTCGTTTAGAGCAGTGGCCTATGTTCTCTGATACTCTTTCGCAGAACTGGACCCCCTCTGGCCGGATCCTGCACTAGCACTCAAGACAAGTTCTGGAGGTTTTGAGACTCTCCTCTCTGAATCACAGCATGATGAATCTCACAATGAGGGAAATGGGCAGCCATAGACTGAATGAGATGAGAATGGGCTACCCTGAAGCGCAATGAGGACATTATTTCCCTCGAAAGAGCTCGTGAAATGTTCGGTTGATTTTTCAGTGTCATTACCCGTTTCTGTATAGCCTGCCTCCATTATTCCTAACCGTTTGTGTGCCCTGTAAAACCCATTACAAGCTTCTATAGTAGTTGTGCACAATGCCCTGTGGATTAGACGACTTTGTTTTCAAAGTGTGATAAGGAAAAGTGCTTTAGCCATAAACTGACATTTAGGCCCAACACAACTGCTTTATTCTGATGATGGGGCCTTTTGGATCAGCTTAGTAAGTCAGTCAGTTATAAATGTGATTCAACTCCGTGTCAAAACAGAAAGTTAAGCTCAGACTTGATTTTACAATCAGCGTTGATGGTAGAAAGCAGAGGCTGTAAGCTGTGTGTGTGTCAGTGAGTACAGGCTGATCTGCATCAGCAAGAGTGCCTTATCTATGCTCTACCATTACATCTATAGAGGACTCCATAATGCCCTAATGCTACTCACATCTCTATATGTAAGTTAATCATTGTCATTTTTTTTTTTTTTTTACAATGCTATCGATCTATCAGAACGCAAAAAAGCCACGGAGTAAATGTACATAATGTAAAAATGACTGAGAAGCTGCAAATTCCCTAAGAAGTGGAAAACATGTCTGATTTATTAATATTATTTTGATCTTGAAGTTACTGCATTCCCTCCATATTGTCTTATTTAGCGAGGTCTTTCCACATCCACCTGACATATGAGCAACCTTCCCTTTTTTCCTTTCCGCTAAGAGTTGGATATTACTACTCAAGGCCTAAATGCTTGTTTGTGCACAGAGTAAATGAACGATAAAGTGTGGTTTACATCTGAAAATGAACTTTCCCGAGTCTAGGCATTGAAAAGTCCAATCCTCCTTCAGTGTCATTTAAGCATGCGTTTGCATTCAATTAAGAATGTTTGTTTTTCTTTTTTCCACACATTCTTTTCACAATGTTTAAGGTAGCAAAGCTTGCCCCAGTTTATAAGCGAATGCGTATTGTAGTCACCTTTACTAATTTCACTGTAGTATATTGATGGCCATTTGTAAGGGAACACTTTATGGACAGACCTACAGACATCAGGGACTCCTATATTTTTACATGAATTCGCATAGCCAGCTCCACATTTGTTTTACTTCTCTGAAACATGGACAGTATTGCTGCGTGGAAAGTTTAGAAGTGAATTAAGAATTTTGTCTCTGGTTCATTTGAAGCGGCCAGCTTTATATATTTTTTTATGTTGCCAGTTCAGTGCCATCTTACAGCAGTTTGAAATATATAAGCTGGAATGTTTGTGACATTCATTTAGTTTGATTGTAAGTTCCTTTACTGATGTTGAAGAATGTGTTGAGGGTAAAAGTCCATTATTGCAGGAAATGTAGTCCTTCAAATACCAACGGAATGTGCTTCTATCAGATTTCTATTGATTTCACTGTGAATGGAAGATGTGAATATTCATTTGCTAGGCTGATGGTATTACAGAGTATATGGCAATGTGCTGAAAAATGAATCTCATTTTTTTAATCATGAAATTTGTGTCACTTATTTATTAAATGAGGCGCAACAAAATCAAAAAGTCAGTGTAATGTGTAAGTTTGGATTATTAGCAAAAGCTGGTCTGCTCTAGATATTTGGATATGATGCATAACGTACACATTATTCGTCATCACAGATTGAGTTATGTTCACTTTGCTTGGTAATAACACTGTGATCATGTATATATCCTCATACTCTTCACTTTCTACTTTATGAATTTGTGTGTATATGTATGTTCATTAAATTATATGGTATTATTACAATTTCTGTTATGTTGTTTCAAAATAGTTTTTTTTCTTAAAACAAACAAAACTAGTAAAAAATAGTGAAAGTACAGACAACAATATAAATGACAAATGGAAGGCTGAAATGGAATACAAGTATTAAAACAACAATGGCTTTGAAAACTAAAACAATATTATAACAAATATTACCATAAACAGGAACCAAAATAGTTGACTATAGAAGCAAAAGAATAAAACTGAACAATGTGCTTTTCCTCTTTCATGCCTGACAAAAATATATTTTTGAGTGCACCAGTTGTGTAACTCTGTACATTCATTCTGACAGAAACAGTAGAATAGTAGTATATAAAATGCTACTTCATAGCTAAAGGTATGATGATGATGAAACTTCTCAGATATTAGAAAATCACAGTTAGGTCATACATATTTAACATTGTGAGCAAAATCAATATTTGGGAATCCAGCATTCTTCTTTTATGATGTAAAAACATAGCTGTAGGTTTAATCCATGGAATATCACTTTATGCAGCCTGTTTTTCAAAATCCTACAACTTTGTTTCAGTTAGATTTTGAAGCCCAGGGCCCGTATGTATAAAACTTCTCAGAAATGCTCTTAAGAATAGTCTTAAGCTTTGACTTAAGTGTCAAAAAATTCTTAGTAAAAAGTAGGACTTTTCTAAGAGTAGGAGACTTTTATAAAGATGCTAAAAGCAACTTTCAGTAAAGTCTAAGACTGATTCTTATGTGTTGACTGAGGTGACACTTAAGTGTTGTGAACTATGGACTACAATGATGTCAACACAAAATGGCCGACCTCAACCTCTGAATCAGCCAATAGTGAGCCTGCTCATGTGAAGTCACAGCAGCACAACACCAATCATTTTATGTAACTACAATAAAACCACTTAATTAAGACACTGAAATATTTTAATAATTAAATGATAAAAATTATCACAAGTTATTACTGATGCTTCGTTTAATGGTATGTCTCCTCGTTTACAGTTGAAGCAATGATGTGAACATGAGTTCCATCAGTGGCTCCAATAACTCCAGGAAAGCCCACAATCCTCATAAAAGTGGCTTGTTTTTGCAGCATGGTTTGGCAGTTAGTTGGAAAGTCAATGAACTGTCAAATAGTAGTGGTCAAAAGTGATGTCCGGCCTAGGAAATTTGACATTCACCCTTGGTTAAAAAAATATATTAATTTGTGATAATAATACAATGAAACAAGCCAAATTGTGCGGTCATAATTTTTGGCCATGCTATCATACAAAGAAATTATGAACACATGCAAAAACAAGAGGACCAATGAAATGTAAATAACGTATGTTGTAGTCAATGTGCCAATTTAGTGATTTTGTCACTAGATTTAGTGACTTCCTCACGCCTTTAGAGATATGTAATATGTAAGACCCTGCTTACTGTCATCAACAGTGCATTGCTGCATTTTTCCAATTTTACAGCCAAAAATGTACTTACTACTTTCATTTCTGCAGTTAGAGCATTGACTTGTTGAGTGGAAGACGTTATTACATTTCTTCCTTTGTCAGTTACAAAAACAAATTGACTATCTTGACAAACAAGTTTGTATAATTTTATCAACTCCATATCATCATATAACTCCAATATGTCATATCTTCGTTGGAAAGTGTTTGTCTCCTCCTCTTTGCTGCCATCTTGTTACTCCTAACTAGGTTAGGAGACCGCTCCAGCGCTCTTAAATAATTTAGGAGCTGAGACCTAGTCTTAACACTTAGGAACCTTTATGAATCACTCTTAATCTTAAGTCTAGGAATAAGAGTAAAATTACATCATTCTTTGAGTTTTGACACACTTAAGACTAAAATTTGACTCTGAGCGGCTTTATACATACGGCCCCAGGTCTTTCTGAACAATAATATCAGAGCGAATAGATGATGGTAGCTTCAAGATCTTTAAGCCATCTTCTAAGATGACCTATTGGCCTCTGTATGGGCTGTGCATATGAAATGTTTTTTCATAGAATTTAATCCAGCTTGACAGAGTTTCAAAGAAGCAGGATCAAAAGAACATTCTGGTGGCTTCACTCTGTTTGGCTCGCAGGACTCTCCTCCACCTTCATCTCCTCCAGTTGTTCCTGAATCGCATTGAGCTTTGTTTCTGTGTCCGGATCAGTCTCTGGCTCCAGTTGGGATTCCAGCTGGGGCTCCTCACATCCGTTTGCCAGGTTCTCTGTGCTCTCGTAACAACCTGAGTCCCGTGGCATTTCAGTCTTTTGCTCCTCTACATCGGATTCATCCTCAGCTGGAGAGCAGAAGTGATGTTAGTACATTAAACAGACTGCAAATTATAAATATGTACCAATGAACACAATTAGGATAACAGTCTAGACTCGATGGCTCTTTGATGGACTTACAGTCATGAAGCAATTCTGCTGCTTTCAGTATCTTCACACATTGCTCAGGGTCTGTAATGTTCAGTTCGTTCAGGTGGGACTCCTTCAGGCCGCTGAAATCCTCCAAACTCTGGAAGCCATGCATGGACAGGAGAGATTCCAGCTCCTGGACACACAATGAAGTCAGTCAGAGCAGATCCTATTGTACTGTGATGTAATGGCCCACATATTTAAAGGGTTAGTTCACCCAAAAATGAAAATTAGTCCATAAATTACTCTCCCTCAATTCATCCTAGGTGTATATGACTTTCTTCTTTCAGACGAATCCAGTCGGAGTTATATTAAAAATGGTCTTTGATCTTTCAAGCTGTTTCATGGCACTCAGCATGTGTTGCATGCATCAGTCCAAAAGAAGTTAAATAAAAAGCGCCCATCCATAATAAAAAGTGCCTCACACGGCTCCGGGGGGTGAACAAAGGCCTCCTGTAGCGAATCGATGCGTTTTTGTAAGAAAAATATCCATATTCAAAACGTTATAATCACTTTAATGTAGCTTGCGCTCACTGTTGTACACTGGAAGCAGTTCCGGGCGGATGACGTATGGAGGTCAGCTTTGCGCATGCGCCGCTCAGAAGTGACGAATGCGGAAGCGCAGGGGAGAGAACAAAACAAAACAATGGTCACTAATTAGAAGTACAAAACGAGTATTTGTAAAGAAGAATGTCGGAGGATTTCGATATAAGCCAAGAGGAGACTGGTTTTCCTTTGCTAAAGTAAGGAAACTTTGCTTCCTTTGCTCCTATAAACAAAC